TTCATCGCGGTGTGGCGGGATGCAGGATGCGGGGCGGGGAGGGGGGGGCGAGAACCGCCTGGCCTCGGGCGGGCCACCTCGCCCGGCCACCGGCCGGGGCAGCCGCCCCATCCGCGCCTCCCCCGGCGGCGCCCAGCACCCGGTCCCTCACGGGGACGCCTCCGGGGCAGGGCGACCCCCGCGCACCCCGCTTATGCCTCGCTCCCTGCCCGGCTGAAGGACACCCCGCGGGCGGAGGGGCGAGGGCAGGCCCGGTGGGCGCGGGGCTAGGCTCTGCCGGGCTGCGGCACCCCACCTCCGCATGCTGCGGGCTTGGCAACCCGGCTTACACCCGGTAAACCTCCTACACGGCACCCCGGTATCCCAGTCGGTTGCTGCCACCCTGAGCGGGAAGGTTGAGGTGTCAGCTCCTCTGTGCTTAGGAACCTCATGGGCTTTGCCTGAGGTAGAACAAAGGCTCCGGGCTTTCTCCCGAGTTCAGCAGGGCAGGCAAAAAGCCCTGCCCTCTCCAGCTGTGCTGCTGAGGGATGGAAGCCCACCCAGCACCCGCTCGGGGGCAGGACAGGCCATAGAATCATAGAGTTGTCCAGGTTGGAAGGGACCTTTCGGATCGAGCCCAACCGTCAACCTAACACTGACAAAAACCATCACTAAAACATATTGCTAAGCACCATGCCTGCCCGTCTTCTAAATACCTCCAGGAATGATGATTTCACCACTTTCCCGGGCAGCCTGGACCACGTCGAATGGCGCAACCAACGGGCTTTACTTCCCTCTGGGTCATTGCTGGTAAAGGCTCCTCAGAATAAGAAGTATAGGCTGCATGTTCAGCTAATGGAAAATTACCGTTTTGCTGAGTTTTAAATGAAAAATCATCTTATGAAAGGTAGCAAAATGCATTTTAGTGTTCTCTCAGGGGCGTCTCTGGAAACTCTGGGGGAGGATGGGCATAGAGCCCATGCCATTCTTGCTGAGAAGAGGACATAATGTTCAAAACCCAGAGGCCAGCTGACCCTCCATTTACACAGCTTTTATCTTAAAGTAGCTTTACAGCGAGAATAAGTACAAAAGTAACCTCTGTGTAAATGAATCGAGCGCCACGTTTTCAAGTAGGAAGTGTGACGTAGTTAGCAAATGTTCATTATCTTTTTCCATTACTGTACCCAGCAGCAGTTATTGTGCAAGGATTGATGTTGCTCTGGTCAGCAAAAATACTTGACCACCTTGCAGCAGTCAGCGTCTAGGCCAAATATTACTGTGAAATTCAGAGCCCTCCACAACTCATCTGCTTATCTCTTGTAGAGTGACTCCAAAATGCATCCAAAATCAGGAAAAAGTAGTAGAGGATGCGAGGCAGAATCATTGCACAATATTTCTTCTCGCCAGATGCGAAGAGGTGCTTTGCCTACTAACAAGCACTGCCTGCAGCTCCCCGTGCAGGGCTGAACTTCTAGTCAACACGTAGGCAAAGTAAATCCTCCTGCCAATATCACCAAAATAAATTGTATACAGAAATGCAATTTATACAGCTTTGCAAAGGAGGCTGAACATGACATGCTGGACTGCATTATACACCACCTTGCCTTCTAGTTGCTTTTCAGTGCAAATACAAAGCTCTCCGTGGTCTGCCTCTTGCTCACAATCTATGAGGCTAATCGTGAAAGCACACCAACCTCCTGTCTGTAGGGCATCCTTGGTCCTGGCCACAGAGCACATCCAGCAATAGGTTTCCTTCTGCAAACATCGCTCCCTTTGCAAATCACTGAGCTCTACATTTGTTGGCTTTGAGGGCTGACCAAATGACCTCTTTCTCAACCTTTATGTATAGAATAGGCCACATGCACTTCCTTCACCAAATGACTGATTTTGTTAAGTGGGTGAGACCAGGTGTCGTGGTTTTGACCAGATTGACTGATCAGAACGACGGATGGCCCCTCCCTCCCTCCCTCCTCTAAGGAAAAGAGAGGAGAGGAAGAGATAAAAGAGATTTATACGTTTAGATAAAGCTAAACTACTTTAATGAAAATAAGTATTGAAATAATAAATAATAAGAATAAGAATAAGAAAAGAAAAAAAAGGAAAAAAAGTATACAGTATATCCAAAACCATATCAAGCTCCCAGGATGACAATCACGTCACCAGCAGGCACAGGGGAAAGCCCCAGGCTGGACTCGGTGAGGGACAGGAGCCAGATTCCGGATCTGGAGTCAGGAATGCTCAGATCGGGATCAAAGGCAGACAAACAGACAGGGTCCTCCTCAGATGTTGGCCATTAAAGAAAGAGCTGACCCTTTGATCCCTCAGTTGTTATACTGAGCATGATGCAGATGGGATGGAATACCCTGTTGGTCAGTTTTGGGTCACCTGTCCTGTCTGTTCCTCCCTACAGGTGGGAACCCTCTATGCTTTTTCACTTCCAACCCTCCAATGGGGCAAATAACAAATTTACCTGACCTTGGTTGTTACAGCAATAAGCATAAGCAAGGGTCTCTCTGCATGCCATTCCTTGGTATCATCAGGTTTTGTCACTGGGAGAGTGAACAGTTTCTGGACAATATGCTGTTGATTTCAGAGTTCAGTCAGTTAGAAGAGGCCCAGCTAAAAAAGTAAAATTACTGAACAGAAAATTAGTTCTGTTTTAACTCAAACCAGGACATCAGGATTATTATAGTCTAAGAGAACAGCAGCGGCTCCTGCGGCTGCAGACTTCTCTGACTACCAAAACCGCAGCATTCTGCTTCAAATTTGCTTATTCTAGGACCTGAGAAGGCTGGACTGCATATGGCTGCTGTCGCAAAAAAACTGTCTAGTTGTGTGGGGTAGCAGGTACTACCTGGATAGGATAGGATAGGATAGGATAGGATAGGATAGGATAGGATAGGATAGGATAGGATAGGATAGGATAGGATATCCTGCACCCCACACAACTGGCTGCACCCCACCTGTCCCAGGGACAGCCATTGGAGCCCAGTTCTGCAGCCTCTTTCCTGCCTGAATCACTGTTTCATTTCTGTTCTTTCCTCCCTCTTCCCAGGGAAACAGTAGCTCAGACCAGAGCCACATCTTGCAATGTTTAATTTTGCATGCACTTCTGAGAGCCACTGAAGCAGCTTTGCACTGAGAATTAGTGCATGAAGTTTTGCTCATGAGTGAGTGACCCAGTTCTTGAAGTGGCAAAGTGTTCTCAGTTCCTTTCAAAGTAAATAGGAGCTCCTATCTTCAACCCGTTCTTGCAGAGATACCCATCAGGACACCAGAAGAGTTGAGCTTCTCCTGATGTTATGGAAATAGAAAGGGAGGCTACAGCTTTATTTTTAAATGCTGCAGAGTGTAATACTTGTTATTAATACAGCAAACCAGAGAACAGTGCAATCAGTCCATGATGATGATCTTCAAAGGTCCTTTCCAACCCAAACCATTCTATGATACTTTTATAAAAACTGAGCATACAAAAGCAAATCTTGCTTTATTTTCTTGGCTGTCAGTTCCATAGTTGGCATTTTTATCCTGTTGTTACACTGTGTCTTATTTTTCAGGCATTGAAGGAAGGGCAAGCAAGGGAGTCTGCCTCTTAATGTTAGACTTTACAAAGCATTGCTGCCTAACTCTGGCACTCCAACCAAAAATTCTAAAAAAGCCAGGGAACCAAATTGAGCCTCCTTCACTCTCTGAGGCAAGCTTTATATATTTCAGCAGGGCGTATGAGATCTGAAGTTGGAATGTGAATCACACCAGGACTTGGTTCTATATGTACAATTTAAAGAGCTCTCGTTTAGATCTTCATCAGTATTAGGCAGAACACATCCTGAATTAACTTATGATTGCTTTCCCACTACAGTTCATGTGGCTGCTTGCCTCCTCCTTATTTCTCATCTGCATGCTAAATTTCTCTGAATTTATGACTCCATGGAGAATCTGACAAAATATTACTCAGTAAATGAGATTTATTTTTTATGTTTAATTTATTTAGCTTAACTTTGATATTTTCCCTGTTTTGAAGCACCGAGCCCAATTAAGGTTTGATTTGATTGGTTTATTTAAGGCATGTGGTTACCTTAACTTGGCTCTGAAATGTTTTTTCTCAAAAGGGTAAATAACCCTCCGTTTACAAAGTAATAATGGGTAGCATTAATGTTAACGTGCATTTTATCTTCAGTGTAATACTTGAAATAACTGCTTTCCTCATTATATAGTTAAGTCAATTTTGTACTGTAACTAAATGTTGACAAAATAAAAAGGAAATGCTGAGCAGTTTTTTCAAAAGGCTTTGCTTAGAAGGATTCCCTTCCTGGCACAGTAAGTGCATTTGAATACTGAAACTGAGTTTGCAGATTTGGATTTTAGTTCTGCTTTTCAGTTTTGTTTCTATGCATCATTTAATCTAAAAGTTACTGACCCTTCTGCATTTTTTTGGTGGTCTTTACAATGAGGAAATGGCAAATTCAAGAACAGGCGCCTTTGTGACCCTCGAGAGGAAATTCCAGTCGTATTGCAAAACATGAGCAATTAACTCTGAAAGGTCTGCTAATAATGCAACTAAAGGTAGAAGACATTTACCTGAATTCATGAATGTACTACTCACATATTTGCCTGTATTAAAATATTCACAGGTACTAATTTTTTTCTGTACTGTGGGAGGGAGAGGGAGAAGTACAGAAGGAGGAAAAAAGCAAAGGAAGGAAGAAGGTTTTCATCCTATCTCCATTATAAATGCTATGAAATCTTGGATAAGAAATCAGGTTTGCTGGTTTTAGCTGGGTTAGTTTTCTTCGAAGTGTCTAGTATGTGGCTATGTTTTGGGTTTGTGCTGAAAACAATGTTGTTACCACAGAGGTGTTTTAGTCACTGCTGAGCAGTGGTCACAGAGTCAAGGCCTTTTCTGCTTCTCACGTTGCCCCAACAGCAGTGGGGGGGGGCTGGGGGTGCACAAGACACTGGGAGGGGACACAGCTGGGACAGGGGACCCCAAATGACCAAAGGGACATTCCGTGTCATGTGAAGTCATGCTTAGCATATAAAGCTGGGGGGAAAAGAAGGAAGGGGAGGACATTTGGAGTGACGGTGTTTGTCTTCCCCAGGTAACTGGTACGAGTGATGGAGCCCTGCTTTCC